ACGATGTCGTTTCCTAAAACACAGCATCGCAAATACAGTACTCAAAACAATCAAAAACCAGCTTGGCTACCATCACGTGCTGCCTAAATTCAAGCCTTAATCTCACTTCGAGCATCATGCTCCGCGACGTTCTCGTGAGCTTCGATCACAAGCTTCTCCGTCTTACGTGCGACCTCATCCGTTAACCTATCCTCATTACCATCCAAGATGACAGCCGTCTCCTCCAAGCTCATCTTGCCCGTCTCGACGAACAGGAAGTACACCACCACGGCCTCGAACGCCAGCCAGACATCGTAAGTGATGTAGTACTTCCACTTCGAGTTCGTGACACCCACTGGGTTGGCGTACTGGTTAAAGATGAGGGCCAAGGCAACAAACAGGTTGTAAAGAACCAGGCCCTTTGCTCGGAGATTGAAGGGCAGAATCTCGACGACATACGTTACCTGCAACGCGCCCCAGCCCATGTTAAACACGACGTTGTACAAGAAGATCATGGCCAAGACGCCCTTGGCGAGGCCTGGCGATCCACTTCCGGTAAGGTCGGTTTGTTGTTCGTAGGTGGCCTGCAGAGCTGTCCAGGTAACGTAGCAGGCCAAAGCGCCCAGAGTCGAGGCGAGGAACATTGTGCGACGGCGGAAGCGGTTGACAAGGAATGACGCGATGAGACCCCAGATCATGCCCCAAAGAGTCATTAATGCGTTGATGAGAGTCTGGGTATCTTGGGAGGTATATCCGATGGAGTTGAGGATTAGACTGAGATAGTACGAAATGAGACCGTTACCAGACCTAGATTAGAATGTCAGTCAAGTTGTCTTTCCATGTGGAGTTTGGCGAGAAAAGGAGCATACCATTGAGAGAAGAACCCAACTGCCAGAATGATGAAGAAACGCCGACGGTTTCCGGGAGTCTGGAAAAAAGACATGTACGATGTCGATCGAGAGGCCTCAGCTTCGAGTCGCAAGGCCGTCCTGATTTCCTCCATCTCCAACGGAACAACCAGATCTGTTGGGTCTCCATTCGCATGATACTTGACAATCAAAGCCTCGGCCTCGGCATCTCGCTCCTTCGAAATCAGCCATCTTGGTGACTCTTCGATGAAGAAGCACAGACCCAATTGAACGATGCTAGACACTCCCTGAAGGATCGAAGGAATGCGCCATGCCCATGTGTTGCCGATTCTGAAGGTGCCAAAGGTGATCCACGCCGCCGATAGGGCACCGAGGCCCCATAGAGAGTTGTAGATACTGACGAGAGGGGCACGTTGGGATGGGTATGCCAGTTCCATGATCATCAGAGGTGCGGCAGTGATGTTGAGCGCGAGACCAAATCCGAGAACTCCACGGGCTGCAATGAACATGCCGACATTTTGTGATGCGCCTTGCAATGCCACACCAATGAGGAGAATGGAGGCACTGAAGAGGAGGGCAGGCTTGCGGCCGAAGCGATCACAGAACCAAGCGCAGAAGGGAAGGGCCACCAGTTGTCCAACGTTCTGGATCGCATTCAACCTGATGACAGCTTATCAGCAGGTACTCTAAGACGCACATATCGAGCAAACTTACAATCCTAATTGTTGAGCATCCGGGTTGTTGAAAGACTGCTGCCATGTGTCCAAGGACTGCAGTCCATTCATCATTGATCCATCATAACCGGTCGCGTAACTTGACACCAATGATAAGGCAAGAATGCAATTCAGCTTGACGATGCCCGGGTTGGAAAGCCATTTTAGCGACCCTCTATTTTTCGCAATCGCCGCATCGACAGTCACGGGGATACCGCCCGGCTCTACTGACAATGTTGGAACCTTCGCCATGGTTGCAATCTTCCAGAGATGAACAGAACTAGAACGCGACTCACACGAGCTCCGAGTATCCGGGAATGGCGATGCTAATATTTGACGGACCCGAAGAGATAACAACCCGAGAAACAAGCACGCTTTCCTCGGGTACCGATATCAGCACCAACAAGCCCGGCCAACCTCCGGGCCGGCTCTCACACGATCCAATCTGTCGGGCTCAGGCGGCTCGGGGGATTTTGCCCATACGCGCCAGATCGAGCCAACAGAGTTCGGATCAGGAGATACCAGCGGGGTTGGGGAATCCCTCACGTTGTCGGCAATAGCTATCGGTGCCGAGGGCAGTTTATCGGGCGAAAGCCTTCCGAATCAGGTATCGCGGGCGATATGCCATGCGTAACGTGACCTCTCAGGGGTGCGGAAATATCGTCCGGCAATGGTACCTATCAGCACCGGATACGGCCAGATATCACCAACAACCACTGGCCCGCCTGTGGGAAAAGCCCCAGTCCGATGTTTACCCTGTTTATCCTCCATGGTGCCACTATCCCCGGCCAGCATGCGGTCTCTCCCCCGCAAAATGGTCACTCGTGACCCCGCTTGAGCTCAGCTCACTAGCGCAGCGGCTTCTCTCCCAAGTTGGGGTATGTAACCTTGCCCGGGGGCCGGAGATGGTCCACCGGTCTCCGGCCCGGTTCGGACCGGGGCCTGGGCAAGCTGGGATTGGTATCTTTGATTGGCGGACCTTTCTGTGAGAGAAGACAGCATAGCAGTGCGGAGGTTGGCGTGAGGGGTTCATGACGATGGCCTTGTTGATTCCACAGACTAGGGGATATAGCGGCATCGAACGCGTGGTCCTCATGGCGAGCTATGGCAAGGGGTATTGTCAGTATGGGCATATATAGCTAGAGAAAGCGGCCTGAACGTATTGGGATTCCTTGCCAAGAATTGTCCTCGCAAAAGTACTGTCTGTTGGGCACGATGCATCTCAAATTGGTCGTCGCTTCACTCTTGACCTCCGGCGCGACGCTGGGGGTCAACGCCGCCAGCAAGCCCAAGTTGTCAGCCAGTAAGAATTGCGCAAATGGTGAAAGACGTTCAACTTGACTTACACTACCAAAGGTGCTCAAAGTTTGTTTGACTACTCCATGGGGGTCCAGGACGCTAGATGGGACCAGTCGTACGCTGCGATTTTTTACCCCGACAAGGGACCGTGGTCTAACAGGTTCACTGCCTGGTACACGGCGGGCTTGCTGCATCGTAACAAGGGAAACGACGTAGAAAACGCAAAGGCAGCAATTGAGAACATGTAAGAAGCTCATTTGGGTTTTTCTTATCATTCCTTTGACTAATTACGAGCGCAGTCTTCAGTGCCAAATGACGTCGGATTTTGAGTCAGCGTGGTATGGAACATTTAAGCTCTCGCCTGATGAGCCGAACCCAACTCCCAACTCCACACTCTATCCACCAAAGATCTATGTAAGTTGGGTCCGTGGACCCATTGACGGCGTGTATGCTCACCTGGGTCTAGACTACATACGATCCGAATTGGAGAGAGTTTATTGGGTAAGTTTTATAAAATCACGAATGCTACAATGCCAACGGCAGCTAACAGCAATGTAGAACACAACTTGTGCAAGATGTGGAGCTCTATTCCGACCTCCTTGGCGCGGATCTCGTCAAGAAAATTGAAGACGCTCTCGAAATCCAAGCCGTTGGCGCTATGAGACGTAACGGCAGCTACCCCGATGGCGACAACCTCATTCTTGGCTACTCTAACCCAGGCCTCATGCGCGCCCTTACAGTCGGCTGGATTGGCGCCCGTCGTCAAAATTCTGCCTTCATCAACTTCGCCAACACTCAAGGGAGCGAGCTTCTAGAGCTCTTCAAGTCCAACGGATCTAACACCCTCGGCGAGTACAACGCGCCTAATTACTACGGCATGGATGTCTGGGCTCTGGCTGCAAACATCGCTTACGGACCTCGCAACGCCACCCTGACCAAGAACGCCGAGTTCATTTTGACGGAGTTGTGGAAAGATATTGCGGAGCACTACAACCCATATCTCGGCAATCTCGTCGGTCCATATGACCGGGCATACACCCGTGACATGACAAAGTATTCGTCCATTCTCCCCATGTACTGGTGGTCTGTATTTGGCCGTGAGTACGGTCCACAGCCTCTTTTGGGAGAAGGAGACTTGATGTACGATGCTGCACAGGGTGCGGCAATCTCCTTGGTTGCAGAGACGGTCGCGAAGCACATGTCAAACAATACCGCAGCTGTTCTCAAGTCCAAGGGCTCCTGGACGGGGTCACGAAGCCTCACGCGACATATCAAGGAAGAGCTGGACACCGACGTCACTCGCACCACCACATCCTGGATCAGTGGACCTCTCATGATCGGCGGACAGCAGCTCGCTGAGACAGAGAACCGAGGAGATCAATTTGTGCCGGCCATTGCGCATTGGGCTTCGGACCCTTCGCATAAGCCGTGGCCCCTGGTTGGCTTCTTCCTGCTCTATCCTTCTGCTTCGACGATTCAGGCCGTTGCGAGTGAGAACTTCCTGAGCATCTCATACCCAAACAAGACTCAGGAAGGCTCTGATATCTTCACCTTTGCCCTTTCCGGAATCCCCCCATCATGGACTCTGGGAGGCAAGTCTATTACCGGCTTGGAGGAATTGCCATGCTTAAACGTCAACGTCTCTGCGCCTGGATTGGAGAAGTTGCCTATCTCGTATGGTGATCAGCTTAGAAATCACTGGTACTACAATATTTCGTATGCGGTGCCTGCAAACTTCGAGGGTGTCCCGCATGTGAACTTGACGATGGAGTACACTTGCGAAGTTTAGAGTGAATGGAGGCGGAGCGTAGCCCGGCCGCTACCCGGGTTGACATTGACCATTTTTCGTGTAAATAAGACATAGGTAGCGCGTACAGCAGTGCCTTTTCCATAGACTTACCGAATTCTTTCTGCATATCTCAGATAGCAAACGCCCTACTGAATCCCTACCTGACCAAGTGACATTACAGGCTGGTAACATTGATGCCGAAGTGGCACACGTAACGATGAGCATACATGAATAACGATGCATCTATTTCAAAATGCATCAGAGTAAACAGCGCAGAAAGAGTGTATGATGACATATAATTGCCAACACTTTTGCTACATGGAAAGACGCGATAGATCATAGAGAATCGTCTCAGAGCTTGAGATTTTCAATCATGGTGGTCTCGATCTCGAGACCTCCCTGCCTTGCCCTCTCCACAAAGTCCGGCCCTAACACCCCAGCCGTCAGACATCCGCCTTTAATACCCGCTGACAAGTTCCTATCGTACAACAGCGTGGCTCCCGCCTGGGCCATGAGCATGGCAGCGAAGGGGTAGTTTCCCTCGTTGTAACTCAACTTGATGAGACACCCCTTCCCACGATTCTTCTCCTCAACGGGGTCGGCCTCAACGAAAGCTGCCGCAGTGAAAGGCAAGCTCTTGATCTGCTTTTCAGACGGGCCGACACCCAAGTCCGGTGCGAAGCGCATCAACAAATTGTAAAACCAGGGATACTGCACCCCCGAGAACACAGTGAGAATAATATAGCAGCGGATCAAGTTGAAGACGGCGCCCACATACGACTGCGCCCTCTCGTACTCGTTGTACTGGAAGTTGGGACCCCAGCTACCTTCGGGACCGCCCAGGAGACCCCAAGATCTATTGATGAGGGTGCGCGCTTGGTCGCCCGGCGGCGAAGAGAGTGTCAGTAATCCAAGCACGGGATCCGTGTGGATTGCGCGGACCGCGTCGATGGGTTTCGTGTAAGGAATCGGCGTCAGCAGCGACGGGTGACCAGCCGCCGCAATTGCTTTCGGGCCTCCGCTCGCGAATGACAGCATCGTTCGCATGGTGCCGCCGCTTACATTAGGGCTGGAAGTTACGATCAATTAGCATAAGACCCCATCAACCAGATTGCATCAGACTGTGTGCTTACTCAAGATCATCAACTCGCAACGTCATCTTCCCCATTCGTGCCGACCATTTCTGTTTGAGTTCGCGGCAGGCATGGATGGCGAAAAGATCCATTTCTCCAGTCATGGCGCCGCAAGAATGAATCAGCTATTTGCGATGCCGGTCAGTCGATGCGTTGATGTTGTCTATCATGAAAAGTCAGGCGGGGACGCGACCTACCGCAACGCCGTTTGCCTCAGCTTGCTCATGATATTTGGTGACCCAGTCGTGGACAAGAGTGGGAACACCGGCGCTAGTGTTCGCTGTTAGATATCATTTGACGAAGCAACGGACATCACAAACCAGTCAACATAGTCGGTCCGCTGGTCGATGCACGCCTCAATGATCGGATCTCCGTCGACCGCATAGACGACACTGCTGATGCACACCTTGGCTCTTCCGATCACCTCCCTGAGTGTCTTAGCATCATTTGGCGCGACAATCTCAAGGTCTAGTTGCGAATTAGCATTTCCACCAGTCTAGCAAAGTTTAGGGCACCCCGGGGCCTCACCTGGCTGCACTCGATCGGGATATTCTTTTTTCAATTTAGCTGCCAGCCTTTCGAGACGCTCTTGTGACCGGCCGGCCACTGACCATTTGAGGTTGGTAGGAAAATGGGCCGCGATGTGTGTGCATACCATCGTCCCGGTGAAGCCGGAGGCTCCGAGCACGACCATGCCGTATTTTCGCGAGGCCGGGTTCAGCACCGCCATAACTTCGTTGGACCAGTAGTTCGGTATTTTGGTCGGCTGCGGCGACTTCTCGGCGAAATGGGGTACGAGTGCGGTTGGTGCAGGCGATCAGAAGTTGAAGAAAGGACTTGCAGCTCTGGTTCTAGGACCCTGGTCTCAAGTGAGGTTTGTGAATTGGCGCTTCTTATGTATCTACTTCTAATGTCAGTGGATTAGCGGAGTATTTGCGGACTTTGAGGTATCTTTTGGGGGGCCGCGGACGGAATTACATTCGCCAAGGGTGACATGCAGGACAACCAACAGCGCAGGCCTTATCACTGGTGATGTGATGGTTTGTTGGCAGGGAACATGCATAACTCGCTTCAGTCAGGAAGAGGGGTAATAAAAGCGACCGTCACCCATAAAAGGACTTGGTCCGAATGATTTGGGTACAATTGATGTTTCTGTTCTGTTGCATTCATCAATCTCGCCCTTGCTATCAGTCATGAGCGCCAACAACGCCACGAGCGGCGCAACTGGCACCGCTGAAGTCCCTGTTCAGGCCAATAACCCAATCAACTTGGCAGCCGATGAGGTAAATCGCACCCCACGCCTAGCCTCTTGACCTAGTTGATGCTAATCCCTGATGGCCAAAGGCGACGAATGACACATCCTCGGAAATTGGAGGTGTACGCAGAAGTTCCTCTTTATCCCACTGACTTGCTCTAATCAATCAATTCAATCTAGAGTGTCGCATCTTCGACCGCTAGTCTGAGTGACTCAATCCGCGACTTCCGTGTCGAGAACGGCCGGACGTACCACAAGTACAAAGATGGACGTATGTCCTGACTTTTTAAATAACATCTTGATTATTGTCCGATTTCTGACATTTTAAGGATACCATGCTCCCAATGACGAGAGAGAAAACGAGCGACTAGGTAAGCTTCATGAGCGCCTCATCTACGAGGTGCGCTGACATGGGCTTTAGACTTGCAACACCATCTTTGTCTTCTTACCCTCGACAACCGCCTGGGGCTCGCGCCCGCCAACGGTCCCAACTCAAAGGTCACGCGCGTCCTCGATGTCGGTACAGGTACCGGTATTTGGGCGGAGGACTTTGGAGAGGAACACCCGGATGCCGAGGTAACAATGCCTATCTATCTTGACTAATGAAGTTTGTAATCATTTATTTGAGCTCTAGGTTATTGGGTTTGATCTTTCCCCAACCATGTCAGATTTGTGAGTACTCCCTGCCGTCGATTTGACATCACTATTGAAACAACAAAACAAATATCATCAACCAGACTAATTCGCGGAAGTGTGCCACCCAACGTGAAGTTTGAAGTGGATGATTTAGACGAGGAGTGGAACTGGTCGCAACCATTCGACTACATTCACAGCCGATTCATGAACGCATCAATTGGCAATTGGCAAACCTTTGCAACTAAGGTTTTTAAGTAGGTTACGCAACTTCAACTCTTCTAAACACATCGTTTGGTCAACGTTCTGCACGATACTAATCTTTGTGTTCCTAACTTCTTAGTCACCTCACCCCAGGTGGATATGTCGAACTAGTTGAACTAGACCTGCATGCACGCTCCGACGACGGAACATTGAAGTCGGACTCTGCTATTTCCAGATGCACTGAATTGCTTGGAGAAGCTGCCGGCATTTTCGGACGTCCTTACCAGGAGATTCCGCCTCTTGTGAAGGTTCTTGAGGATGCCGGCTTCGTGGACGTCAAGATGGAGGTGCATAAGTGGCCGACCAACGATTGGCCGAAGTATCCCGAGTATAAGGAGCTGGGCATATGGGCTAACGAAAACTTCATTGCTGGATTTGAATCCTTCACTATGGCACCCTTGACCAGAGCTCATGGTTGGACAAAGGAGGAGGTCCAAGTTTTTCTCGTGGAAGTGCGAAAAGATCTGGGGAACAGATCCATTCACGCGTACTGGCCAATGTCAGTTGCTCACCTATTCTTAGTGATTATTGCTAATCGATTCAGGTACAACATCTACGGACGAAAGCCTTCCGAGAAAAAGCAGTCCTAGCACATTGATATGCCAGATATCGCAAGGAGGGGAAAACCCAAGAGACCGCTTCTGCACAAAAAGGCTCAATGGACTCTCACCGTCAGATCAGAGCTTAAAATTGGACTCGAGTAGATGGTTGAGCCTTCCGCAAGTAACCTAGTGAGCTACCTACTAAGTCTTAGAAAATGTGTACCCGGAACGTTGGACATTGAGATATAATACTTTGACTACATCCTTGGAAAATTGTCCCCAAAGGTTGTTACCCGTTGGTTAAGACGCTGGTCTAAGGGCAATTTCTAACTTCTACATTTGTGGCAACTACTATGTTGAGATCTTGAGGATCATGGGTCGTGAACTCCTTGATTGGCGGACTTCGTGGCGACGAATCGCTGTAATGTGGAGCTAGTAAAGTTTTTGATTGGGGGCAGTGATGCACATCATCAGTGGTTGCGCAAATCTCGAAGAATTGACTCAATCCAAGAATAGCGTACTAGGCAGTCATTCGGAGGGCAGGTAAACACAACGCACAGCCCGTGTTATTGCTGTTGGGACCTTTCGGCAATAATCAATTATTAAATACCAGGGCAAGGTGCCTTATCTATTTTTACCGTCAGTACCAGGTACCTTGGACACACGCCCGAGACAATGAGGCACAGCACCAACAAGGCCCCTCCTTTTTCTCATCGATCAAATGAAATACTCGCGTCTCTCAATTCTCTCATCAAACAACTCCGCCCTTTGGTTCTTTTCCTAACTTTTTCTTGAAGTGCATCTTTAAACTTCCATTCAACCGCAAATATGCCCCAAACGCCCACCAGAAGAGCATCCACAGGCGGCAAGGCGCCCCGCAAAGCTCTTTTGCAGTACGTCATTGAGGAAATGCCCAGTCATGATAATACGCCCTGCTTTACCGCCTGGCGACGTGCTGTGAGGCTGCCAATACCCGAGAAATATGCACGATCGCCCTCAGACTCGGATTCGGACAATGAGGATGGACAAACGCGCCCGAAAATGTCTTATCAGATATACGACACAACGCCTTTGTCTGCCAACCCGGACCATCTGAAAACCCGAGCTAAGAAGGTCCACGAAGAGACATTCAGAGCGCGCTGGAGAATTGGATTTGATTTCCACGATCGCATTGACCTCTGGGCCATGCCGCTTGCCGTGGACGCATCTACCGAGGAGAGAATCGAGAAGTGCAGAGCGCATGCCTGTGCTGAGATTGCGTCACGGGAGCACGCCGATGATACTTTGCACATTTCGCGACTCATCAACCACGTGGATTGGCCTCGAAGTGACTGGCGTCGAGTCATCATCATCATTGACCGGCCACCAGAGCTCTGGAACGAGAATGAGGGAGGCTTCCTGGTGGTCTTCTGGGATCTGTCGATCGAGCATCCTGCAACAACTTCAGGGGAAGTTGAGGGGCTCCGAAACGGCCAAGATGAAGGCCAGCAGGCACCGGAGATGGAAGTTGTGCGTTGCACTTATGATGGCGTGGGAAAGGTGATGGGGGAAATTAGAGAGGCTGTCCAGGACTTTGAGGACTGAGCTTCTGAGGTGTTTGGAAGGCTTCCTGCGGGTAAATAACGCAAGAGACAAGCAGTAATCAGTGAACTTGAATCAATATCGGTAGAGACAGTTGCAACTTCAAAAGTGATAAGCAGAGCCAACAAGACAGTCCAAGCAAACAAGCAACATGACAATATGTCCACGGCCGGTGTGCTCCCACACACAAAACCCATCCCGTCCACCTTTCCGCCTTCTGAACCTCAAATCTTCCAACATGGCCACCATCCAAGACATTACCTAAACGATCTTGTCCGGGACGCCGATGTTCGGGTTCTGGTTGGAAGCATCGAATGTGACATCTTTCCAGCCATAGGCACCATAAATCGAGGCGCCGGCTGAGAGACCGGCCGGGCGGGGAAACTTGAGCTAAGCTGCAGTAGCAAAGCCATTGGTGCCGAAAGCATCGTTAATCCACTTCTCTTCGGCCGCGGATCGCTTGTTCTTCGGGAACTTTTGGTCGAAGACAGTTGCGGACTGTGTCGCCCAGGCGGCGGCGAGGGCCTCGATGTCGCCAAGCTCCTTTTCGATCCAGTACGCCCAAAGAGACCGCATCGAGGGATCCCCCTTCGAGTTTTTGGGCTCGCCAGCGCGCGTACCCCATTTGTATTGTTGAACGAAAGTGTACATGACAAGGTCTATCCAGTTCGCAACGCGGGCCCATTTCTTCCAGATGGTGTCCGTCTGGCCGTCGCTGGCGCCCAAAAATTGAAATGGGGCCACACCCTGTGTTGTCTCTGGTTAGTTGCGTCTGTGAAAGTAAACATACGGAGTTCTTGTTTGATCTTTCTTACCCTTCGCATTTCTGTTCGGAATATAGACTGTGTGTTCATCTTGGAGTAGTCACTGGCAACCCTGTTCATGCCAAACCACTTCCCCTTGGCCATATTGATCTCCTTTTCCAGTAAGGCAAGGTTCTTGTTGCCTCGAGTGGCTGGAATACGCTCAACGTTCTGGCCTCCCGAAATTGACTTGACCCCGTCGGATCTTCCGAATCCGTAGGCAATTAGGGCACCCCCTCGTTCGCCGGAAGATGGGGTGAAGAGATCGCCAGCATTGATCTTGCCAGGCGAAACGATAAGGAATTCGGTCTTACTGTCTTCGGATGACAAAAACGTGTCAACGACCCATGCAGCTGATGGCATCTTGTATGTGGTCCCAAGCTTTCCGCCAGAATCACTGCTCAGCCAGGACAGAAACCGCATGATAGTTTGGGCTTCAAAGACGTGTTCGGCTGCGCTCTTGTTAGTACACTATATGCCATCATCACTGACGAGGGACCACTTACTGTCGTGTTTCTTTCCATTTGCCTTGTTGGCATCTTTCACCACCTCCACGCTGCACTGATTCGTATTCTGTGGATCTTTGTACGCCCAAAACTTGCTGATTTCCGGAATCTTTTCGGCATCGGCTCCCTGCATATACTTTCCCATGGATAACGTTACCTCGTACGTACCGCCGAGCAAAAACCCATCGAACTTGGTGTCCTTCTCGGCAAGGCCACGTCCTTTCAAAAGCAATGATCGCGACGACAGTTGGTCTGGGAGAAAACCAAAAAGGCTTCTCTTGGTTATCGATCCGTCTGCAGGAGGTACGACGCAGGCCGGGGCATCGGCAGAGTTGCCCGCACGGGCGTACATGAGTTGATACTTCTCATCACGAGCTGCCTTTGTCTTTCCGAACTCGCCGCAGTAGGCACATCCGGCGCCGGCTTCAGTCGTGGATGAGGCAGGCGAGGATGTTGTATGCGCTGATGTTGTCTCCGGCTTCGGTGTCGTCACGGGCTTTGGTGTCGTTGTAGGCTGCGGCTTGTCGGTAGGCTTGACCGTGGGCTGGTCTGGCTTCGTCGTGGGATCGGGGACTGGCTTAACATCGCGGCATCCGTTCTTGTTCTTCTTCTTGCAGCCGACAGGTTTTCCACGCGACATAGAGTCAGGGGCGCCGAGGAGAGACCCAAACACCATTGTGATATCGAAGTTGAAATCCGGTATCCCGCATGCAGGGCCGATCTAGCTCCCAAAGAATGACGCCGCTTCTGCCCCATCCTCGTAGAAAGACTTGGCGCCCTGGACTATAGCTTTGATAGCCTTGGGTGCTTGGCCGCCGGGGATGAACGTGAGACCGGCGTCGGCGATGGAGGTTAAGGAAGAAAGCATCACAGCGCAAATAACACTGTCCAGCTGTTCGAGGCCCTCGATGACAATGTCTGCGATCTCTTCACAGAACTCACACTCACATGTGCATTGCCCGGCGTACCATTCGTTACAATCTTCGTCCTTGTTGGCGAGACTCTTATCAAGTTTGACGCCCTCAGGAACGAAGAGCTCACACTAAGACACTCGTATCAGCAAAACTATGACGATCACCAATCTGTTTGACGGGATATTCTGAATGGAACATGAAATCATATTGACTTACACCTGCTGCGGCGTTCTCTACCCCTTTGACCTTCTGGCAATAGCCATCAACGCCGGCACAGGGAGCAATACTCTTCTCGCGATTGCCAGCGCCAGTGTAGCTGAAGCATTGTCCAGAGGACTTGAACGCTGCAATTATCTGAGCATCCGTAGTACTGCCCTCAGGCTTGGGACACTTTGGCGCTCGACGTGTAAGTTGAGACCCAGAGACTACCGAGGCAGTGCTGCATAGCAGCCCCAAGATGGAGAGAAGCTTCATCGCTCTGAAGAAGCTATGCGCTCTGATGCGGGTCAAGGACTGATGAGTAGACAAGTATGATGCGTTGATAGATGAGTTGATTGTGTCGTTGAAGATTGAATACATGATTTTTTTGCGATTCGCTCTTTATCTTTTATATCATCCAACTAGGGAGACACGGGGTCTCGGACATTGATGCCAAAGACTGATCACAGCCTACACTGCCTCATACTGCCTCATCTGAGTGCCCACGAAGCGGATAGCCCGAAAGCGTGAAGCTCCTCGTAGATCTGGGGTCCGTTGGTTGTTCCTGGGGCCGTTAGGTGATGGCGATGGTATTTCAGGAGACTCCATCGTTCAGAGATTGGCAGTTTGCCTAAGCTAGCCCCCGAACTATTAAACATCCATGGATACTGTAAATGCTCAACGAAGACTCGTCTTTGATCAAATGATGTAGTCAAAGTCCCAGACACACGATCCTTCGGCGACATCAACCCGCGCGCAGAGAAAGGGCCCGCCAACAGTATCCAACAGCGTCCAACAGCGTCCAACAGCATCTACCAACAGCCCCCAACGGATCCGCTTGCTACCGTATCGACTGCGGCGAGGCATTTGCCAAGTATTCGAAGCCTCAAATTACCCATTTTTCTCCACTTGAGATGTCACGATCGTGATATTCCTTTCGTGAACGCGAAGCTTGGCAGTTGGTTCCCTACAGCCATCTCCACTGCGTGAGAACCTTCCGAATTGAAACCATCAACGAACATGCTTTCTGCCTCGCCCCCTCTTTATCAATCCTTAAATTCTACGCCTCAAGAAGAGGTGCTCATGAGGGCGATTGGTGTCTATAGGCCCCATCACGTCCTCACATCTGCCTTGATTTGAACAGTGCGGTGCGGCGCAGTGAAGCGTCAGAACCGCGAGGCAAATCCAGGCAAGGCCGTGGAATGAAATTCAACAGAAAAGAGTTTGGGACCCTCCCGTCGCTGAGAATAAGATTGAGAATGTAACAAATAGTAGACATTTCTGAATCCAGGTAGGACGCCCGTCAAGAGGGGAGACCAAGAAGGAAGTTTGCTGAGAGCGTCCAACGAAGCGACCAACGCCCAAACCATGACTCAGGACTGTACGAGAAGTTCAATTCCAGTCACAACACATGGCATTTGAGCTGGGTGCCTGGAGTCGAATTATAAGAGGCCTTCGAATTATAAAGTAGGTGGGGATCATGCTGAGGACTCTGATTCTGGCGTTGGTAAATGACGAGAGAGTTTCCTCCCAATTCGAAACTACTACACCGTTCTTGATGGAAGTCTAGCGTGGGTGGCCTTAATAGAACTGCCCAAGATCTGCTTCAGGTTTCCCTGGATTCTGGTCCATATCAGCCTGGTATCTGAATATTCATAGAACTCCGCAACCCCGTGAGCCCGATTTCCAGCCGTCTCGTTTCAAGACGAGAGAGTCTTTGCGCAAGTTATAATTGCAGTGACTCAGCAGAAAAGATCCACGGTGACAGAGCGAGTAACATGTATCCGCATCCATTGTTGGAGAGTGGGCGTCAGCCCGCCGTTCGCCAGGCCCTTGATCATCGTATTCAAGTAAGGGGTGAGAACATGCTTGGCGCCCGGCTCGACGTCTTTGTTCATAAAGATGCTGAGGAAAAGTATCGCTCAAAGGCAAACCGTAAGGACACGGTGGAAGCAATCACTGTTATGAGGTGCAGGTATGACGTGACCCGACGGATTGCCGAACGGATAAGCGCAGCAAGTACAGATCAAGTGCAAATTGAGACTTTGGAGTTTGATTTTGACTGCGCTATGAAAAACTTGATCTGATGATAAATGAGTGAGAGTGAATTTATCGACTGTCTTGTTTCTGGTTAGTTACCAGTAGCGTCGAACGTGGCTGTAAACCCAACTCCGCCGGTGCCGCATGATAACATGGGCCAACTCCGCAAGTTGACGCAATAATTCACAGCGGCTGCACAACTGTTCGACTTACATGCGCCAATGTGGCGTACAGCTTATGCGAGTTGCGTCTTTCTGGAAATGGCCACCGAAATGGGTCCGTGAGCAGAGCTCTTCCGCCGACTCACCAAAGTCCCAACCCTCGAGGTGCGGAGTTCGCTGCCTGGTTCAGGGACCTTTGGTGAATTGTTAGCTGGTGGTCAAATGGCGAGAGTCAAAACAGAAGCCAAAGGTATACATCAGAGACTGGTTGTTGGTTATTTCTATAGTTTTCGAAATCACTGCAAAAGGAATTGATTCCATCCCAATCGAGAACGACTTCAACGGCGCCTCCTCCGGAACATACTGCTCTTGTTGATTGATACCCTAATGATTTTCAAAATGTCTCCTCGCGACGTTCTTAAAGTCTTTGTTTTCCACCAGAAGGATGCTGATAAGACTGATGAGGAGTTTGAGAAGCACGTGTGCGACAACATCAATCCCGCCTCGGTAATCAAAACTTGTCAAGCGACATACGGCTATGAAATACTCTATTTTGAGAAGTGTGACGGCAATTGCCCGTCGCCAAAGCTTGTTGTGATATATGTGATTCACTAGACGTCGGACCTCCTGCCTTAGCAATGTCTGCGGAGCTCCCGCCGCGATGGTGGAAAGGTTCCAGGCAGGATGGGCCGTCATCAACTCGCATGCAGTCCTCACCTATTGGGTGCGGGATATGTCACTTGCAAGTGACTCGGAGTATCATGAAATTGGCCGAAAGCTAGAGAAAAGCTGGATCGACTCTAGTAGAGGCGAGGTCATGGTTGGATATGAGAAGGTCCTCATTGACAACAAGGAGATTGTCGATGGGACTATTGAGAAATAGGGATCTGCGGGAACTCACGGTAGCATATAGTAACAAAGATGTTGGAATGAGCGGCGACTTCTTCGATCTGCCCAAGCTTCCATTCTCGTTGTATATATAAGGCTCGCATATCGACATGAACATGTCCGAAGAGATGCTTATCATTGGATATCAGATTGAAACCTCGTATGACTTGAGGGTTAGACATTAAGACTGCAGAGTTTCTTGATCTCGTCATACCTAGCGTAGGCAAATCCAGCAATTCTTTTGCGTCCCACGCGATGCGCGCCTCAACCCAAAACGAGAAAAACGTCAAATTTGTGCATTCCTGCAACTAAGGTAGGAGAACCTGTGACCAGGTCGTCCGTGACGCATTGTAATTAGGAACATGGTCCGCGCATACCTTCAAGGCTCGTAGCTTCGCGAATTTAGTCAAGATGTTCGATGCTGCCGCTGAGTCGAATAAGTTGTAACTCCCCCGAAACTACGTACCTGGTGGTGTGCTCTGAGGCAGTCGTAAGATAAGACTGCTGTCCCTGGGCTAGCTAGGATAAAGTCACAGACAATTGGTTGCACAGCTGATCCATCATGATCACTCTACCTCACGTGTATTGCTATTGCAAAAATGAAATTGGTGGTGTTCTGAGCCGTTTCCCTGAAAATGCCCAAGTGATTCTCTGTGACCCAGCATTGTTAACCGCATACTTATTTGGCACGAGCCCCTGTAAAGCTGGTTGCAGAGGCTCTTGCTATGGACTTCAAGGTGAAAGCTTGGGGTTTAGTGTGATTCATCACGGAACTACGTTGGAGAGACCGAAGGTAGCAGTGAGACGTCATGATACCCTGCACACTGGAGGTTTTCTTTCAACGGCAGCCATCGAGCTCCTGAGAAACTGTTTTCACCATCTTGGCATCTTGGCCGCTTCGCATCGATGCAACTTCGCTATCGATGATAACCTTTAGCATTTTCGCTTCGCACTGAGTAGTTGCACCATGGTGGCGACATGGGAACCTGCGTCTGAAGAGTGCATTAATGGCACTGCCGAGTTCCGGTTTCCCGATCGGTGAGACTGCACACCGCTCAATGACTAGCCGCACTGAACGCGCTCATCTGGCGTTCTCGAAAATGGCTGTTGTAACGAAGTGCACTGTTGAAGAAACGTTACAGTCATTGGGCATCTTGAATGCACCAATCTCCTATTCAGACCTGCATATCACGATGGCGACCAGCAGCGGACATTTGGTGTTCTCAATTGATTTGAAAAGCCTCTTCACCGCCTGTGTCATGTGTCACTGTCCAATCTTAGTTTCAGGCCTCGAACTGAAATTTTATCTTCAGCGCTATTGGCCAGGGCCCCTTGCAGTTTCATATTAAGTGAGCCAAACCGCCCCAAAGTTGGGCAGCGAGAGACAAACACCAATGGAAGCAACTTTACGATGCACGAAGCCAGCCGTTTGGCCATTCACGCTCTTTGTGTCTTGCTGCATCTCGAGGCCACGTTCGTTTTGTCGGTCTGGGCGCGTCTTTCAACCGCCAACCAACACGAAAACAACAGCCCGCAACGTGACAGAGCGAAAGAGGAAACCCGAAGAGATGATCGACGCAGGCCGAACGTGCCGCTTACCGCAATAGTCCGTCTCCACTAACTGTCTCAGTCGCCCATTATCCGCACAAGGGAAGAGAAAAAGCTCAGACGCTCGTGTCTCAAAACAGCTCGTACCCCCTGAGACCAACACAACAAAAGCCAAGGAAGGGGGGCGAGGGGCGGGCGGTCGTCTTTCGTCCATTTGCAGCCCACCCGCCGGAAGCAAATGGTATTATTACTGGGCGCCCCTCTGATCCTTCCGTTCACCGTGCTAATTTCCACGTCGGCGGCGTTCTGCCCTCCAAGAAAGTCTAAATTCGACCACGTCGCTGCAAATCTCGTGGCGCTTTCTCTCCACCACCCCTGAACACACACCCAAGACCATCGACCGTCGAGGAGCCTTGTCAGCAGAAGAACGGCAGACGGCCAATTCTGAAAACCAGCTAAGAGGATAAATCACACATGAAAGCGACACTGTGAGACTGGGAAGCTTCACTGCACGGCGGATTGAATTGTGAAAGGGCTTGGCGTGGAGAGAGAGAGAGAGAGAGAGCGAGTGAGAGTGAGAGTGAGAAAAAGACCGGAGGACCGAAAATGGGCGCCCCCGGTGATGCAGGCCGACGAGGCTCTCACCACGATGTGCCCTTCACCGACGACCCAGAGCCCGACGCGCCGACGAGACGCGGGAACGTGGACGAGGAGGCCCAGCTATTCGACGCCGAGGAATTCGAGCTGGAGCCGAGGAACAGCGGCTCCAGCGCGTCGTCGATCATGCAGCAGAAGTTCCCCGCGACAAAGAAGCGACACTGCTTCTACGGCCCTCAGCCGCCGCGGGTGCACACCATCAAGCCGATCCTGCCGTGGGTCCAGGAGATCCCCCCGCGGCTGCTCGACCGCATCGCCCCGACGCCGCGCCGAAAGGCCGGCATCGTCGCCGTGTTCCTCGCTCTATGGGTCGTCGCCTTCTCGATCCCGCTCAGCTCATCCCGCGCGATCAAGGACAGCTTCGGCCAGGACGTGATGAACCTCGACTGCTCGGACGCGTTGTGGGAGTTCAAGAACGACTGCGGGCTTGACGGCGCCGACTGCCGGCCGTTCACGAACTCGTCCTTCTCATTCAAGTGCCCGGCCAACTGCATGGCTCACAAGCTCTTGAACCCGCATAATGTCGGGCCTCAGGAGATTGTGTACAAGCATTTGGTTGTCGGCGACGGGGTCTACCGCGGCGACTCGATGATTTGCGCCGCGGCTATCCACGCGGGGATTGTCACTGACTTGAGCGGAGGGTGCGGGCGCATTCATCGGATCGGACAGCATGAGAGGTTCAACAGCTCCACGAAGAATGGCGTTGAGTCCATCTCATTCGATTCGTACTTCCCGCTCTCATTCAACTTGACGGCCGACCCGAGTCTTCAGTGCGGCAAGAGGGATCCCCGACAGATCCTCCTCCCGACATCACTATTTTTCACCACAATCTTTTCCATTTTCACAACATCGCCCGAATGGCAATTCTTCGTCAGTTTCTTCGGTATCTTCGCCCACGTCAGCTTCGGCTCCGACCCCCCGACGACTTCCCGGCACGTCGCCACCGTCCTCCCGGACCGGATCTCAATGTTCACTGGCCGGCTTCTCCCGGCGGCTTTCTGCGCCGTCGTCATGTACTGGATCGCTGTGAGACGGACCCTCACCGGCCTCAAGGCCCAGTTTGAGAAGACCGTCCTCTGGCTGGGAGGTTTCTGGTTCGGCGCCTTGTCGAACTACACCTTCGCCTGGATGCCAATCCAGCGCCTCACTGCCCACGACATCGAGTCGCAGCCCGGAGCCAAGCCCGCCTTGGCTCTCATCCTCACCATTCTCGCCTTCGTCATGGCGAAACAAGTTTACTTCTTCTGGCTGGAGGGCAGGCTTCCCAAGTTCCTCGCCCTTTACGCCCTTTTCCTTCTCGGCATCATCATTGGACTTTCGATACCCGGCGTCGACCTTCGCATTCACCACTACATCATGACTTTCCTTCTCATCCCCGGCACCAGCATGCAGACGCGGTCATCCCTATTCTACCAAGGCATGGTCCTGGGGCTCTTCGTCAACGGCATCGCCCGCTGGGGCTTCGACTCCATCCTCCAGACGCCCGACGCGCTCCGCGAGGACGGCCCGTTCAACTCGCTGCTTCCCGAGATCGCCAAGCCCATCCTCTCGACGGGCTCGTTCGAGCCCAGCATCACCTTCAGCTGGCTCCTCCCGCCCAACGACACCCGCTTCGACGGCATCAGCGCTCTGGTCAACGACGTGGAGCGGTATCGGTACTACTTTGCGGACGGGGACAGCGACAACCAGTTCATCTGGATGAGGAAGCCGAAGCTGGCGCTGCCAGAGTATTTTAGATTTGCATACATGAAAGACGGCGTAACGTTAGACTACACACCGGCGGGGACGTGGCTTGCGAACGGCACGTTTTTGATGCCGCCGCAGTAGACACGCGCTGGACCTGCACGCATTTTAGAAGGCATTATCTTAGATTGGGTTGGGTCTTGTTCATGTTCGGAGTAGGAGCGATAGCGACATTTTGTCTTTTCATGCACGTAATACCATCATATCAATCAGATCAAATGCCGGGATAACCATGGTTTTGCAATTTTGATGAGCTTATCTTGTACAGAGGTATGCTGCGTTAGAAAGACATAGGTGGCTGAGTTGTCATGTCTACTGAAGATGCCTTGTACGCCTTGAGCGCGCCCTGAGACGACATGCTAATGTCAGTGTTCGGCACGCTGATTGGGGCCGAGGCCGATAAGGCGAGAGATCCAGGGTGTTTGTGAGCTGAGCCGACACGAAGTGTTAGTAACTTGGTCGAGTCACCAGCTAAACACTAACAGATAGTAAGTCTGCCGTGGTGGGTCAAGCCGAGATGTGGGATTGAGTCACTGCATCATTGACTATGTGTACAAAAGCCCCTCGGAACTCATCGCAAATACCCTTCGTCTATGACGCAAAAGCTTTCAATCATCTGCAGTTCTAGTTTTGGAACTTTCCTCACGGAAAAACGCCATCGAAATGTCGAAATCAAAGGTTCAGTTAGTCCCTTTCGACGCAGACTCGCCCGAGCACGCGACTCGGATGGTGGATCAACGGACGGAGTGCGGTTGGCATTTTGACAAGGTGCCCGACTGGCAAGAGGAGCAACGATCTGGCGAGAAGTGCATCTACTGGATCGTAAGTTTCAAGGCCAATACAAGCCGCATGATATGAATAATATGACAGATCTCAGGAGGCGAGCCGGCTGACATTCCCGCAGGCTTTTGCCCCAGATGACCCTGAAGCTGAGGCTAAGCTCTCAAAACACACAACTCGTTTCCCAAAGGTTAGCCCGTGACCCTTCTTCTAGTGTCTACTGCCACAGTACTGACGGCATATGACAGGAGAAAGAGCCTCTGAAAGATACAGCAACTTCCCTCCGCGCAACTCCCCGCACTCCCACCGGCATCACTTTTCATCCCGTGGGGCACATCTCACTAGACGTTGACAACCCCGCCGCAATGCGACTTCAACTCCCTATCCCATCAGAAAACTTGTATTGGATCAAGAGCCTCTACGTCTCATATGCGCTGCAGAGTGCGGGCATCGGCCGAGCCGCGATGGATGAGGTCGAGGGCATGGCTACCAGCGAGCCGCTTTGCGCCAAGGTCCTGATGCTGGACACCGTAGCAAAGGAGGACCAGCATAGAGAGGAGCTGTTCCAACATCTGGATGGGCGCCCTCCCGCTGTGAGTAATCTCCAAACATGAGATCCAATGTTGCTTAAATGCTTACAAGGTGTGTGAAGATGTCCACCGAGCTGTGGTATGCGAGACGAGGTTACAAAGTCATCTGGAGGGAGTTGAACTTTTACCCTGACTTTGACAAGGACGGAAACCCCTTGGGCAGACACACCGTCTTCATGCGCAGAGACCTTCTATAGACTAATAGAAATCTAGAAATTTGCTAGATCTCAAGGACCTTCACAGTGTTCTTTACAAAAGGATTTTCTCATGCGCATCATGTTCTTCTAATCATCATGTCATACGCCCCTAAGCTACATGCTAAAATGTCATTACGCCTCCGGCTCAACCCAATGGCTGTTACCCTTCCATATCATAGTCATAACAGCAAGCTCATTCTTCCCGGTGTTCTCATTCATCAAGTCCATCTTCATCAACTTTTGGTAGAACGGCACCGACTTGTTCCAGCTACCCGTGAGCAGCATGCTCCTTCGCAGGTGCGGCATCGACTCAATCACCTCTTGCAAGCACTGCACCAACCAAGTGCCCAGGCCCTTTCCCTGCGTCCAAGGATGAACCCAAACATCCGTCACGAATGCGATGGTGGTGTAGTCGGTGATGATGCGGCCGAAGCCGAGCAGGGTTGGTGCGTTCTCGGCCTTTTGGGTTGAGACCCCATCTGAGCTGGCGGCTTGTGCTCTGAGAAGTGTCTCGGCGACTTCGACGGGATGGCTTTTGATATCGTAGAGGGCGAAGCAGAGCGAGTTCTGGAGAGTCTCTTTCATAACCGGGGCTGGGAGCGGTTTGCCCCAGTAGAACTCTTCAGAAGCGAAAGCTGCATTGAGCTCGGGGATGGGAACGAGGCTGGTGTCGGTGGAGATGAGGTAGGAGTCCCGCGTCCATCTCCGACTGCGTAGTTGGGATGCGGTTGATTCCATCCTTGCTTTGGTGTGATTGCGGCGTATGGAAGAGTGCTAATGTAGAGTATGTAGACTTTTCTCCTCGAAACTCAATTGCCGAACATAATCGAGGAACTTGAGAGTCCGATTATCTCATACGGCTTAAGTAGATTTTCTCCAACAGGGTGACTCAGCATAACCATAGTATCTCTGACTCACCTACGCGAAACCGAGCGAATACTCGCATCACAGCAGATGTGCCACGCTTGGCGGGTCGTGGTGTTTTGAGCTGAAGCTAAGAGCTGTCTCTGAATGGCACAAGCGAGGCGCCAATTGGTTTACGACAGACCTAAGCTTAGTGGGCGTATCGGGCGTAATTGACGGCCCCCTGCCCTTATGTAATGAAGTTGGCCTACATAATTGCGTGCTTCAACCACAGGTGACAGGAAGATCCAGCTGGAGATTCAAGAGATTGCGGAAGACGAAACATGGATTGAATGCACCTTGGAAGCAACCTCACCCAATATGCACAGATCATACTTCAACGGCGACCCGATACTTCCCACTGCCGATCTGGATATGACTGCCACCAACTCTCCCATTTGACAACATTTCATGCCAGAAACGACCAAAAACATTTCTATTCTGTTCATTCACTTCTCTGCTACATCCATCGACACTCTGCGATTCCAATCGTATAAGCTGACTGTGAATTCCACCGGAAGCTGAAGCACTCGAAATTACCCAATCAAACCCCAAAACCACCAAGCGGCAATGGCGGATGGACCTTCCTCTCATAACAGCGACAAACTTCGTGCGCACGCAGCCGCTTACTTTGGGATGTACCACGATGGCCTCTCTGTCGACGCTTTGAACTCATACACAAGGCAACCTGCCTGAATTCGCCCGCCTGCTCCCTCGTTGTTGCACTTTTTGTAACTGTCCAGGAGAAGACTCGCGCAGTTGGCCGCATTCAGGTCCCCAAGAGGCTTCCACAAGAGGATGTTTTCCTCCGTTGTCTCCAAAGAGCATCCGTCAGCCCAATAAACGTTCATCTGGTACGGTGCTTTGTTGGTAATTGTGTCAAAGTGAATAAAGGTGCTCGAGTCGCCCTTGGTAATGTTCCGCAATGCCGAGCCGGTGCATACGTGTCCAACATACTGCTCCTGGAAAGACGGATTTATGTCCTCGTGGTCACCGAACTCGTCGGTTCCAAAGCACTTAGGCTCACCAAGGGTCTTTGGAACCGGCTTGGTGATTTGGTAACTGAACTTTCCACACCCCGCGTCATACTCGGCATAATTGGCCATGGTGTTTCCTTGACCTCCCTTCTGGCCGCACTTGGAGTTGGCAAAGGCAGTGAAGGCGTCCTTGCAGGTAACTTTGCACTGCGCGCCAGCTTGCGCACCAGTCTCAGGCTTGTAGTTGAGCTCGAAGTTGTATTTCAGCCAGGTGTCTTGACTCGCAGGTGGGGTGCGTCTTCCCAGCTGCGGCTTGGGGATCTTCGAAGTCCCCTTGGAGTCCACAACCATACGTAGACCTGACTTGGCGTCCCATTCCTGGCAGAACTCTTTGTAAATGATGCCATCAGAGCCAGAGAAGACGTTGTAAGGGATTGGGCTGGCGTCGTTCTTGCAAGTTGGGCCGCTAGATGCCGTGTCCGGGTTGAAGATCTCGAAGCTGGCCACTCCGCAGTCCAAGGCCAAGGTACCGTTGTGGGCCATTGTATGGGAATCATAGGAACCTGAGACGTTATCAGAATCTACGACATCGAAATAGATGAGTCTTACTTACATGCGGTGTTGGTAGTAAAACCTTCATCGAAGATTTGCCTGCATTGATTAGAGCATTTGTCTTTGCCGGACTTCTTCCAGTCAAGCGTGAAACTGTAGCGATTGTACGCATTGATAGAAACATCTGCCGGGGTGTAATAGGCGGATACGTCTTTGTCAAGCTTGAAATTATCGGTGCAGAATTTGTCCGACAGACTACACGGGGACAACGTCAGCGATGTACATCATACATGTCCAGAACCATGGCGTCATCCTATGCATGTTCCTGTCGCACGATCCAGGAACTTCAAACAGGTGGGATAACTTACATCTTGAAAATCTTCGGGTCCATATTTTCCATCTTCTTAGAACACTCACCGTAGTTTGGGAGCTTCGGGAACTCCTTCGGAAGTGTCTTGAAGAGCTCTTGAATTTGCGCCATAGCTGCTAGTTCTTCCTGGGAGACCACAGCACCTTCAAAAATTGTCGGCGGGTTGCACTTGCAACCTTGGTAGTCGCCCTGTTGATTGTTGTCAGACGCCGCCCCAGGAACTCAATACCAATCAAAACCAGCTGAAAGCAGCAGAAATTACTTACAGACTTGCAGGTTGGAGGCTTTTCCTTCGATTGGGGGAGCTGCATATCGCAGTCTTGCTTTTCTGGATAGTCTCCACACCACAACTATTTACTGTGGTCAGAATATCGAAACCTATCTCAGAAGGTGTCGTGTATCTTACCGGTGTCTTGGTTGGGTCAGGGCACAACTTTGTGCTCGTAGATGATCTCGTTGAGATCGTGGCGGTCTTTGTGGGCCGTTTGGTCTGTTTGACAGCCTTGAGGGACGCCGAAGGGACGTGGATTCCGGTGATCAACGGCTTGGTACTTCCGGAGCTTTTCGTCGAGCCGTAGATGTGGAATGCATAAGCCAGAAAGCCAACTCCAAGGGCTCCGATAGCGGCAGGTGCACCAGCCTCGACGGCAGTAACTTCACCTTCTGACATGATGCTAAAGGCGACATCAGGAACCGCTTCAGCTTCTCCTTCGGCGTTAGTCAAGTCGATCGCCTTTTCCACCTCGATCTTGATGGGATGTTTCGGCGCGCCCTCCATGATCGCTTCCTCAAGATCTTGAATGACCTCAACAGACTTATCGAACTGGGTTTCGAAATGATCGACAAAGGCTCTGGCGCCACAATAAGCACGACGTTTAAGCCCACATGCCGGGGCATTCTGGGCTGCGTTTTCAAGGAAGGATTCTAGTGCTGGGTTGATAATGCTGATGTCAATGTCCGCGGCTGCGTTCGTTGTTGCTGAGAAGAATGCTTCTCGGGTCGTGGTAACCGGACGCGACGTAGGTCCCGTAGTGATCGTCTTAATCGTCCCTCGTGCAAGGTCGGGCGTGATCGTACCTTGGCTGCGGTGCAGTACATGTCAATGGTTTTTAATGAAATCTGAAATGGACGAAGATCGTACTCACAACTTCGAGGCAGGCGGGAAAATGCTCACAGGGTTGACTCCTACTTGACCTGTTTCCGTGGGGACCACAGCACCAACTTGAACAGCAGGTGGGGCTGTTGTGAGAGCAACCGCATGCTGGAGAGAAATTGACCATAAAGCCACTGCTTGACCAAGAAAATTGGAAAATCGTCTCATAGTGCAGATGGAGAGGATCGAAGAGTCAACAACCTGACGCGACTCGATGTGTATGGCGTAATGGATGTTTTAGTTGATTTCGAACAAGATTCGTGGGAGAAGACGAAGCGTGGTGCCTTTATGGTAGGTAACCTGATGTAGGCAGACAGACGGTTCCAGTCATAAATAGCTAGTTTTTTCTTGACCATGAATAGCAACAATGGTTAATTTTCACTCGGGGTATCTCGGTGGAAGCTGCGGTTGAATTGGGCCACCGCCCGAAGCATGTCATGATCACATCTTTCCCCCCAACAGTAGCAGATAGTAGCGTAGCCCCCAATGCAATGGAGGTGCCGTGGACCAACAGCGCGTCAAGGACATGATGGGCTAACCGCCACCGCTTGGCTAGACCATCGCATGTTGGAAGTATGCAGACAACATGTCAAAGCTCGATTTTCACAAGGAGAGATATCCTACTTCTGGTCATTGGTTTGAATTTACATGACCCCGCTTGGTCCAACTTCGGGGACCAGATGCAGACCCCACGTTCCTTTCACCCGAGGGCGCTTGCCGACGTTGGGTAGAGTGGCATGATCAGATCTGAGTTGCAATGTGTTGTTTGAGTAAAGGGCCGCTGAGGCTCATGTGCGGGGGCCAACATCGCGATGCAACTAAAACTTACCAGATGCTCCCTGCAGGGAGCTACGATGATCCACTCATAAGTGTGTTGGAATTGGGGGCTTGTTGGTCGACCTGGGCGCCGAGTTGAGGTTCAACGCCACCGCCGTTGGCGCTTAACCTCACATTAATGCTAGCTGAGAGTTAACCAGGCTTTGGCAGACCATGAAACACCCCCTCGTTGCTAATTTTGACAGTACTTAAGTGCCTCCAATTGAGGATGCACTGCTGACCTTCACCCAACACGAGGGCCGATTTTGCCAGCTGAAATCTTGGCATTGAGGGATGCCAACGAGGTCGATCCATCCAAGATGGACGAACAAGGGATTAGATTGATTGCAGTGTGCGAGGGGGCAGATGGACGCAAATTTCTTCCAATTTCGAGCTGTCAAAAGCAAGGGCCGCTGGATTTGACAGCGGGGTGCACAATTGCCAACACCATCAACTGCCCTCTCCCCGAGTCTTTGCCGACATGTCCAGGAAGAGAGTAGACTGATGAACGCATTGAAAATAGCATGCAATTTGGGGGCTAGTGTTGTGATCAAAGGAAGCGCCGTTGTCTTGGGGGATGATTCCAACAAGCAAATCCGTCTTCCGACTCGGCAGCAACCCCGTGGCGAGTTGGGAGAAAGACATGTAGAAGATGTGTATAAGAAACAGTCATGTCCATGGTCCTGGACAAACTGTTAAGTATTCTGACAGACACCAATCGCTCCAGGCCTTTCCTCGACATATTTTCAAGGATAGCAGTTTATTTTACTCAATTTGCAACGTAGGTGCCTACATTTGCTGCCATGAAGTTCTCCTTTGCCTTCGTCACGTTTCTCGCGACCACCTGCATGTCTCAACGAGAACCAGCATGGGCCATCGATACAAGTTGTCGTAAGTACGAACAAAGCTTGATCTTCGTACCTAATTCTGTTGGTTTGTGAGGCCGACTCTGACTTCGAAAACGGCCAGATACCTACGACAACCAAAACATCAGGGAAAAGATCAAAGATTCCGTTCTTGAAGGTCTTCAGCTGGCAGAAGATGCTGTCAGTGTCATGAGAGATCATGCAGATGATCCTTGGGTCCGAGAGATGAGCCATCTAGTCTTGGGTCGTCGCGACGGCTTTGAAACTCGGTTTGAAGCGGTTAGACGTGAGTAACCATTGATTTTGTTTCCCCCAGCGAAAGGCGACTTATACTGAGAAGCCAAACAATCGAAAGAGACCCTGGAGCGTGTTGCCGCATTTGAGCGCGCACCTAGTACCCATCTACCTCTGTCAAATGAGTGGGAATCCGTAAAGAATAACCGTGACTGGGTGAGTTTAAGGACACGAAGGCGGGGGTGTAAGAGCCTGCATCGCATCTGGCGGTAGAAGCTTCAGTTTCCGCGTTTGTCAACAGGATTGCTAGTCACTAATCGCAACTTCAAATTAGGAGCTGTACTGCAATGCCGACAGGTTTCAAGTCATAGAGGGAAAGCTCAGTAATACTGCGATGGACAACAGACCCTTGGTAAAGCAAACGTGGGCCAACTTCCAAAGGTGCTACACCAAGGAGTTTCAACCTGGTTCCGACGTAAAGGCGCCAAAGATGACCACTATGCATTCTGACCTGGTAAACAAAAAGGGCTGGTCAGATGCGCTCCTTCTCGACAGCACGAACTCAGTCAGCATCAGAGATTACACACGGGAAACACAACACGCATCCTCAACAGACTTTTGTACATGGTTTCTTGACAGGACCTATCGACAAGGCTTCCCTCTGATTGACGATAGGCTTTTGGAGATGGTGAAATCTGACGGATTTCGCGCTGGCTTCACGCATGGCGTCCCAGTTGATGGACTGAAGACTTCTGGTGTCACATTTCTTCATGAGGTGAGAACCGCTCAGGGATTGGTTGTAACGCAACAAAGCTAATACGAGTCTTCCGTCAAATAGTTGACCCACACTAAGCAAGGCGGAGCGCTCAAGGACACTGGGATTCCGGAAGACTTGAGGCCGCAAATTCCCTCTTGCTACAATTGGTTCTGTGTCACAAAAATGGCCCTAGAACCCCGTTTTGAGGTAGAAGGGAACCCCGGTACGTGATTTCAGACATCTCGAGGCCTCGAATCTCCCGTTCTAGAACAATTAGCCATGCCTTCTTACGGGGACCGCTGAGTTCGGCGCCGATGAGTCTGAGACTAACGACTTGCGAATAGACTCCATAGCAATGCTGGCCTTGGCACTGAGAGTATGGAAAATGAACCATTACGTTGACGCTGATGGTGTCATTCACGAGATTCCAAAGGCGTAAGATTGGCTTCATGGGTAAGTCTTTGGTTTGCCCCCAACAGAGGTCAAGATACAAATATGTACCTTGTAGGTCAGGTCAAACTTAGGCACAGGAGTGCAGCTGGGACAGGAAGTGTTGAGTGGTCTACATGAAAGCTTTTGGTCGGATGCAGTTTCAGGTTGAATTATAGACATGTTGATTATCGGAAATTAAATTGGGGTGGAATATTGTTCCAACCCATAGACTACCCCAGAATTCAAGTTGTCCTGTTTGCTTCGTTTGCCGGGCGTACTGTACTTACTATGTTCTCACACAAGAACTGGGGTTGAATTGCTGTGATCTCTCAGTCCATCATCAGAAGATCGAACGCCCAAATAGAGGGCGCAAGGCGGTATTTTGCAGTCTCTTTAGCAAGGAAGAACCAATTAGATTTCACTTGGCATCTCCTTACTGTTTCTGTTGGTAGTATGGTCCGCTCCAGCCCCCGAAATTGTCCGACCAACAGAGCGGTGTACTGAGCTACAGCCATGCGTATTTATAAACCTGTTGGTTGTCGCCCCCTCAGATTATTTTTGCATTCCTTTTCATACGTTCATTCCAACAGCCAATCGTAGATCAGCGCTGCAGGTGATCCTTTTGTTCCTGGCACCAAGCATCGCGACCCGTCAGCAAGTTCTGCCGAATCAATGGCTTCATCCCCACTCCTGTTTTCCAAATTTCCTTTGGAGATTCGATTCCAATTCTATGAGCAATTATGGGGTAGAGAGACGCACATATTTCTTCATCAGGGACAGCTTCAGATCATGGCCTGCCAGGGCGTGGACGATGTTTCATACCGGAACATGACGCCGGGAGGCGATACCATATGCGACTTTGAGGACCCTGTCTGGATTCGTCGAGTGGAGTCAAGTTGGGGATGCCATTGGAAATGAGAAGAACACTATTTGGACGGCTTGAAAGAGCCTGGTCACGCATCTCACATGCATTTGCTTTCAGTCTTGCTTTCTTCGAAGACGATGTAAGTTGAACCTCACATCTTTCTGATGACGAATTAGTTCAAATAGGTGGTAACAAATGCATTACACAGGTTTCATGACGTAGTTCAATTCTTGTCACAGCCCACTCAGTACATCCATTTTACGGATCTGGAGACCATCAGCGGCCTCTTCTGCGCAAGCTTCCCAGCAAGCTCTTCCCTTTCCCAAGCACGCAGTAAAAACGAGACCTGGCCAATACTCAGATCAATGCGCAACATTTGCCTCACATTGCGACTATCACTGCGACTCTTGGGCACACTGTATGTGCCCTTCCTATCGAGGCCGGCAATGCAGCAGAAGATCAACACGCCGCCTAGACCATTCGCCACCCCAGAGGGGAGCGGCTGTCTGAGGCAGTACAAGCAATGGGAACGGCTCTGGCCTTCATTACAGGACCTTCCATCCTTACAGTCGTTTGCTCTCTGGCTCGACCACAATGGTCACTATAATTGGGATCTTGTGTACGAGAGAGAGATCTTGCAGAGCCTATCGGACGTCATGCCTACCCTGAACAGCCGCGGAGTGAAGGTCTGCGTCAATCTTCCTCGGCTGCCTCTCGAGATAACGAGCTATCACAATGATGACCGGTATTTTGTCACGAAAGCGCCTGAATTTTCTGTCAAAAGACGAGTGCGCTTGCCGTGGAAATGTGCTGCCGAGGGCTACGAGTGGACTGCAGCTGATAAATTCGGAATCTGGTGGGTCACAAATGAAGAGAATGGCGAAATCCCTCCTGGGTACCCCGAGAATCGAGCCACGCCTCGTGGCGAAGATTGGCTAATCTTCGATGCGATGGGATACGACGTCAACAGTGATGAATTCGACAATCACCCACAGCTAGGATTTCCACTCAATGGGGAATGGGGAATCATTTGATAGATGGATGAGATAGTTGAGGCATTCACGGCGGCCTAGGCCGAGTTGCTCTTGGAATCGTCAAATGGTGATGGGCTACAAGCGCGTTCTATTCTAAGCACTTCGACTTGAGACTATTTTAAGGATTTGAAATTTGTACCAGAGTGGACATCAAGCTGGAGGAAAAGTATACATTCATTACACGTCAGCGTTGGCATTAAGATGCAACAATAACAGCTGCAGTTGTCTCCACGCCTGGAAGAATGTGTTGGAACACGGAGCAAAGGTTTTGGAACCCTTTCCCGTTGTGATTCTTTCTACCCCAGGAAGAGATCAACACATGCTGTTGGCGTTACCAAAAATAAACCAATCTGCGTCGTGGCGGTTCCGTTATCATGCTACTGCAGAGAGTACTACTGCCCAACCGGTAAGTATTTAGCAAGACCCTTTTCAATGTGGCCAATCAGAAATGTCTGATTGTAGGACTGCCCTGTTGGTCCCCGAGTTGTTTTGGCGGTCAGTAAACAGGCTGTGCCGCGCCAACTTCCTGCATGACGAAGGGCCTGAGCGTTTATAAATATCACTGATCCTCACTCGCTTTCCAACCTTCGTCCTCCATCCTGATTCCCAGGCATCTCAGAGTATCCACATTCACTATGCCCTCCATGCCCTGAATACTACCACCCTGCAAATACCGGCTAGTTCGTTTTCGCTGCAAACGCCCGCCCAGAACCTTTTTTTTTCGTTCTGCTCTTCCAGGTTTCTTTTCACCCAACATGCACAACTTAGTTACTGTCAAGGAAGTGCAGGAATCGCCCCTGTTGGGCTTGCCCCTAGAAGTTCGGTATCACATCTATCGAATGCTATGTGGGACGAAAACGCATCTGTTTCTACTTGACGGTGACTTACAGATCATGGAGTGCCAAGGCGCAGATGATTCGTCTCACAGATTTATCGCAGCTGAGCCCGAGTATCAGAATCCTAGATGGGCTCGCCGTGTGGATTCATCTTGGGGTTGCCACTGGAGGTGTGAGGAGAGATATCTCGATGGCGTCGAAGGCCAGGCTAGTGCTATCCACACGCCACTGCTACCTCTGCTACTATCATCGAAGGCACTGTACGTGTTTGAGTTTGTTGGTTGATTCCTACGATTCGTTACGTGTACTAACCATGGGAATAGATGCTTGGATTTCATACACTTCATCTCCAAGCCGACGCAACATGTCCACTTCACTGATCTCGAGACCATCGATATGACGTTGTCAACAACCGTCCCACAACCGTCATCGAAGCTTCCAGAGACAGTCTCCTCGCGCGAGGTTAAGCAATACCACCTCTTCGAGTCCCTGTGCAACGTAGATCTCACGTTACGACTCCCGATGTCTGTAATCAACACTCTCTTCATTCACTACTTTGCGTATCATGACGAGACGAAGATATTCCCAAGACCCGGCGGTACCCCAGAAGGAAGCGGCCGCCAAAGAGAGCACGGCCAATGGATGCGGATCTGGCCGAATCTGCTCGGAATGCACCATTTACAACGGCTCACTCTCTGGCTCGACCACGACAAAGCCTTCGGCTGGGACCAAATTGCGGAGACGCAGATACTCCAGGGCTTATCGGACATCATGCCTACCTTGAAGAATCAAAAGGTCGACGTGACCGTCAACTTGCCTCGGTTGATTCCGAAAAAGCTGAACGCCAGGAGCGCCAAGGACGTTTTTGTCGACTCCGCTGCCGCCTTCCATATACAGAGACGGACCCGACTACCATGGGCAATACGCTTGCCCGACGATAATTGGCCTGCGCCCGACATGGACGAGGAGACGTGGAAGGAGTATGAGGAGAAGGACAACGTTGCGTGGGTAGCCAACGGGGAGAACGCTCAACCACCCCCAAACATCCCCCAGGAGTATTGGTTCTCACCATTTGACAACTTCGGAGAAAATATTATGGAACAACTGGGATTTGATATTTATTCTCGCGCGTACCAAAATCATCCTGTCTTGGGCGCGCAAGACAATCCACATTGGGGATGACCAATGAAAGAAGTAAAGCTGCGCAACCACGTGCTGCTGGTCAATGAGCGATAGGCCTTTCTACACTGAAGTATGTCCAAAATGATAGAACGTCGAGACATCATCTCAACTTACAACCATGTCAAATCTGGCGACTGTTACCGCACGAGATGCAGTAGAAGAAAGCGTTTGCAGAAAGTTTCCCCAGGCGAGCTCGCCATCGCTTTCTAACTCAGGCGTCACTCGTGATGTGGGCATTCTACATAGTATGTCCCAGCCCCTTTCTTCCCCCGCTTCTCCAACTCTGCAAAGGCCTCTTTAAACAGACTTTGACCTACAAATCATCCAATCTCCAAGAAAAAAGCCCCCTCAGCGGGCTCACGCGGCCCAATCGCGAGATTGAGCGTGACATTCAGGCTAAATAGCTGCCGGCGGCATCCCTGTACCGTAGCAGCTGCCGTGCGGAGAAACGCGGGGTGCGGAGGGCCTGGGATGCTTTTCACCCGAAATTACCCCATCAACAAGGGCATCGAAAAGCCGAGGTGCTGCTGCGTAAATCACTTGTTTTCTCGGGGTGATGATGCCGGATTTCTGGAAGAATCCGACGGCATTACATACCTGCGTTTACGTCAATGGAGACGACCCGGCGGGATCCATTCCATGGCTAAGATGTGCTTGACATATAAGACCGCGCCTTGAGGCGTTCTCTCACCAATGTCGGCCACCTCTACCACCCCAAACCCGGCATCGGCCTCTTGCAAGATGTCTTCCCCACGGCCACACGCCTACGGGCTGCTCCTCCTGAGCCTCCTCGTCCTGCTGCTCTCCCGCCCTGCCGCGGCGCTGAGCATCAGGCGCCAGGACAACTCCACCATCTCCGCCGGCCGCGAGCGCGTCAGCATCAACAAGGGCTGGCGCTTCTGGCGCTCCGAGTTCAACCCGGACGGCATCGCCTACGACATCCGTCCGGACCTCGAGAACCTCACCGACATCTACGTGCTGAAGGACTGGATCCTGCCTTCGGCCAACACCTTCATCAACGACGCCGCGAAGCACCACGAGCGCCCCGCCGGCGAGCCCATGCGCAATGTGTCCTACGCGTCCGCGGGCT